TCAGCAGGTTTCCTTTCTCTGCCCTCAGTCCCATGAATAACAGTGAAACTGCTAAAATGAGAAAATGTGCTTGTCTAGGGGACCGGCAGTGAGGGGGACACCGGGGACATGCATCCTATTTTATAGCTTGGGTCAGGTGGATCCTGAGGCCCTGAGTGGGTAATCAGTGTCAGGAGGAAAGGAGGCCATGGGAGGACATCTGAGTGCCCAGCACAGGGACTGGCCCAGGAGGCGGTGCAGGTTATGTTTCAGTACAGTGTGCTGGTGGACTCAGCACGTCACCCAGACCACAGGGGCGTGAGGCTTTTTGTAAAGGAAAAGCCACTCCCTGGTCCTCCCTCCATGGAACAAGGCTCGTGGGTTGAGTTGCAGATCACCTTCCCATCGCCGTGATCTACGTTCACTGGGGGTCCAAAGTCCCCAAGGTTTCTGCTCTGAGTACTTACGGCCTTTGTAACCACCAGGAACAGGTTGGGGTTTCTTTTTTATTGTCTGGGAACCAGCAGAGAAGCAGGTGCAGCTCTCTGCATGCAGCGTCTGCCAGGGGTGGGGAGCCAGGCGGGTGCAGGCAGGTGCAGGTGGGCCCAGCCGGGGCTCCCGGAGCAGCTCTTTGCCTGCAAATGTCCCAGTGTGGTGGCTTGGATTTTGTCCCCTTTTCTACTTGGTTTTTCTCAGAAGAGGCACCTTGGGGAACTCGGGGAGGGAGGGCAGGTTGCCTAGAGCCCCACAGCTGCTCCCAGTGCTGGCACAGCCCCTCTTGTCACCTTTTCAGTACAGCTCCCAGCGTTGACAGCCACACTGCGTGGCAGCCAGCTCTCCCTGCTCTCATGAGGTCTCCTTTTCTGCTCTTTTCCTGGATTTGACTTCTTAACTGAAAATAAGAAATATATATAGTCTTGGCCAGTTTAGTGACATGGATTTTTTAGTACCGAGCAGAGAATAGGTTTTAACTATTTTATTATCCAGCCCATTCAGTGCTTCATTGTTCAGATTGCCCAGCCTCACTGGATTATAATCAGTTCTTTAAATTTGATTTTGGCACATATGCTGCGGTGTGAGCAGTGAGGAATGTTACCTCTGTCTCCTGAGCCTGTGGGAGCAGGAGGGGCCATTGGGACAGGTTGTGGGTGTCAGGGGGGACACGAGGCTCTGTCCTCACCTCGTCGTCCTACTGGAAGCTCAAGGACAGGGTGGGTGTGATGGGGAGGCTGCAGGTGGTCCTGCTTAGGGTGGGCTGTAGGAGGAGCGAGGCTGGGACAGGGATAGATTGTCTACTGCAAGTGCTGATGACTTCATGTTAATGTGAAGTATGTAGGAAGTAATTTAAGGACTCAAAGGGTTGAATTATTCCCTCTGGGAATGCTTACGAGTTGAACCTCGGTGTGCAAGATCAAGTGTATGTCTTCACTGATATACAGGGCTTATTTACCTCTTGGTGCTGGGCTCCTGACTTGTGGCCCGGGCTCACCTGTTCACCCCTGACCTCTCAGCATTGGACTACTGACCTGTGGCCTTGGCTCACCTGTTCACTCCTCACCTCTCAGCACTGGCTCCTGCTCACCTGTTCACCCCTCAGCTCTCAGCACTGGGCTCCTGACCCGTGGCCCGGCCGGGCTCACCTGTTCACCCCTCACCAACTTAACAAAGATGCAGTGAGACCTCAGGAGGCTCAGATGGATGTGAGAGCTGTATGAGACCTGATCTTTGTCCCCACCTGGCTGGGACAGGTGGCTGCTCCTGTATCTGTCGTCAGAAAGGAAACAGAGCTCTCTGAGGTGGTGGTGCAGAGATAAGACACCTGCTGTTTACATAGACTTGTCTGGGGGTGGGAGCACAGAGGCTGGAAGGCAGGACACAGAGCAAATGAAACTCCTGGGAACGTCCCGCAGTGACCAGCCTCCTCATAGTCACCCAGACACCAGCGTGGGAGGCAGAAGTGCTCTGATTACTCCTGCCTCTGCCTCACCTGGAGCCACCTGCCAACGGTAGCCCAGAAGTTCTGTTGCAGCTTTGGAGTGAGACAGCCGGCCAGGTGGAGGCAGCAATGCCCGCAATAGGATGCTTGCACCCTGCTCCTGCGAGGGCCCTGCCCCTGCTGGTGTTGCACGCGGGGCCCTTGCATCTTTGTGCACACCCAAGACCAGCCCAGGGCACCCACTGCTGTGCGGTCACCTGTGGATTGCCCGGAGACCTGCAGGTGTTTCCAAAGCTGGCACAGCCCTTTTTTGTCACCTTGTCAGCCAGCTCCCAGCAGTGAAAGCCACACTGGGGACTGCGGGGCTGGGCTGGTCGGAGCCCCGAGTGGGACCATCCACCCAGGGGGCTTCAGGGGAGGTGGGAGCTCCCAGCACCCGCCCCTCCCCCCCAGCCCCTGCTCCTCCAAATTGGAGATGCTGGCGGGTCTCTTCATCCTGGAGGAAAGGCCCAGATGGAAATGATTCCCAGGAATGCCAGACTGACAGGCTGCTCCCTGGGGTGGGAGGGCTTGTTTTACCCAGGAATGAGGTTGTGCAGAAACAGGGCAGTGGGGTGGGCCTGAGGGGTGAGCCTCCCCTCCAGGATGGGCAACACAGAACAGGACCCTCGACAGACCTGGACCATGAGTCAGCGGGCAGCTGGAGCAGCCGCACAGCCACGTTGAAGCACAGAGGTGGTCGTGTGCGAGTGTGTGTAAGTGTGAGAGCGTGTGGGTGAGGAAGTGCACGAGAGACTGTGGGAGAGAGTGTGAGAGACTGTGTGTGAGAGTGTGTGTGTGTGACTGTGAGTGCTGCGTGTGCGAAACTATGTGACTGTGTGAGAGACTGTGAGAGTGTGAGAGGGTGTGAGAAAACGTGAGACTGCGAGTGTGAGCACGTGTGAGTGTGAGTGTGAGAGAGACAGAGCCCCAGGGTGGGCGCGGGGCAGGACTCGGCCCGGCCTCCAGAGGGCGCTCCTGCGAACGCACCGTCCCCTCAGTGGGCAGGAGGTGGGCCCTCTCTGGAATTCTCGCTGAGCCCAGTTCTCACACAAACTGCTGCCTCCCCTGCCGTGGGACCCCCTGCTCCCTTCCTGCAGACGTGGGGCCTGTGGCCTGGCTGCATTGGCGTCTCTGCCCTGGGTGCCATGTGGTGGTTATGTGGAGGCAGTGCTGGTGGAACATTCTAGACTTGGCACCAGGGCCTGGGCTTGAGTTCTGGTCTACCGTTGTGCTTGCTGAGTTACCTCGGGCCCCATGTGGAACCTAACTCTCAAGTTTCCTTGCCTGCAAAACAGCATCCACAGTCCCTTCCTTGGCCCTGTTTCAGAGCCTCCTCGGGGGAGGAGGTGGGAATGCCCAGGACAGAGCCCGGCATCAGCTAAAGCATAGACCTTATTTGCTTGCTAGCTGCTTTGAAACTAAATTGTTAAAGGAAACTTCGAAGAGAGTTTTAAAAATGTCTAACTAAGCCTCATGCTCTGAGACCCGTGTTTCAGTTTTGCAGATTGTTTCTCGGACCCGTTCCCATCTGGACAGAACTGGAATGTTCCTATCTTTATAGAGAAGTGCCCTCGGAGCCACCTGAGAGGCCATGCGGGCTGGTTTTCAACTAATGCTAAGAGGGCTTTGGCTTTGGAGCAGGCTGCCTTCAAATGTCAGTCCAGGAGCTGTTCTGGGCTGAGGTCAGGCCACAGTAAGCTCCAGGCTGCCTTGTGCAGGTGAAAGGGAACACCTGGCCACACCTTCCACACTTTTCTTTGGGCTCCATGCAATGCTGGGCATTGACATAATGTCATGGTGTCATTTGTGATAAAACACCACATGTTATTTTGCAAGTTGCCCAGAAGCAATAGTCCTTCCTGTTCCCAATTCACATCTCCAGAAGTGTCAGAGCCACATGACTTCTGAATGTCTAGGCTGTGAGTGGCGTGTAGATATCAGGAAAGGGCAGAGGAATCGTGCTGATTCTCCCAGGCACACGCAGCAGGCTAGTGCCCCGTCACTGTCTCTTCATCACGCCAGTCTTCTCACTCTGCTGAGCTTCGAAGTGTCTGGATGTGGGGGGAGAGATGAGGAGGTGGGCAGGGCTTCTTGGTGGGGCTCAGTATGACAGCGTAGGTCACAACCATGATGTTTTGCACGTTGGGTGAGGGCCCATCAGCCAGTTTGGCAGGGTCATTCTAAGGAGAGCCTTCTGTTTGTCGCACACATCAGTGATTCAAACCCACTTTTCAGTGAAATGTCATCATGAATTTCACACTTGCAAGGATTATGTGTTTACAGCTTAAATCCAAACTATAGGAGAAATTGTTGAGTCTGAATTTTCAGATCACATCACCAGTAGGAACATTATTATTTTAATAGCCTGCAGCAGGTTTTCTCTAACTGCCCAATCAGAAGAATCCCCTAGAAGAAGTAAAAAAATAAAACAAAAAAAAACTGGATTCCAGCCCTTGACCCAACTCCCCCCCCCATTCCCCAAAAGAGAATTGGATTCGATTAAGAGTGGGGTCCTTGGGAATCTACATCAGGAGTAAATGCCTGAGGCCTTGCTGGCAGGGAAAGCTTGGGAAGGTGAATGTTCATTGTTGGTGCTTGAACTAAGGTCTTTCCCCCTCCAGAATGCCTCATTGTTAAGATTCAAACTGTCATAGTAGGACCACGCTTTGCCAGAGTCATTGCATGTGCATGATCGCCAGGACACTGCCGTCCTGACTGGGGCACCCAGGCAGGCATGCAGCAGGTTCCCTCCGAGCTCAGCCACCGTCACTGCCACCCAGTGCTGCGGGCTGAGTCCTGATGCTTGGTCCTGTCCCCCAGAGGCCTGCAGGAGCTGTGTGCTTCCAGGACTGCCATGGGAGTCTGAGAGCGCCCCTGGGTTTCACATCTGTCTGCAGCAGCCAGGGCATCTGCCCTGAGCAATGTTGACCAACAATGAAATACAAAGTGCCTTCAGGAAGTTTTCCAGTCAGTTTTTCATTAAGGGTCTGCGTGCTCCTCTGTAAAGAAAGCACCCTGAGCCCACCTGTCTCTTTCCTAGCAGGCTCCTCAGGTGACCAGCCACTGGGCGGAAGACTCCGGAAGCTGAGCCTTGGGCAGTATGATAATGATGCCAGCGGGCAGCTGTCCTTCTCCAAATGTGCATGGGGAAAGGCCAGTGTGGACCAAGCCCCGAGCCTGACGCCTTTCCCCTCTCCAGCTGAAGTCAAAGAGGTGCGTGCCATGGCCATGTGCCAACCCGGGCTCATTCCCACTGGCTTTCCTGTCCTAGGGCTCAGGGAATGGGGATGGCCAGCACGGTCCCTGCACACAGCCCACTGTGACCCTCAGACCCCACCTCCGTCCCCATCTCCCAGGCACGGCTCCTCTGTGACTGGCAGGTGGTGTGGTTGGGAGAGCACGGTGTGTGGTCAGAGCCTGGATGCGAATCCCAGCACTCCCTAGAGATGGGCATGCAGGCAAGGCACCTCTCCTGGCTCTGCACCGCTGTGCTCTGATCTGTGGAATGGGCTGTGCGGGTTAGAGGCAGCGCAGCTGCGGACCTGGCCTTAGTGGGATTCAGTAAAGGGACAGCAGCAGCCAAAACATACTCGCTCAAGGCCATCCGGCAGGGCTCCTAGTGCTCCATCCAAGCCCCTCACAGAAGGTGACCCCAGGGCGAGATCTACCCACAAGAGCTTTCCTTGCTCTTGTGAGAAACGCAGTTGAGGCTTCTAATCAGAATCAAAGTAAGTTATAACCAAAATAAGTAAACCTTTTTAAATGTGGGCTTTATTCTAAGTTAGAAAACTTGGAACCTACAGAATAGGTGAGAAAAAAAAGTCACTTATGGTCTTAACTCACAAACAAAACCAGTGTTAATATTTGGAATATTTCCTCCCAGCCCTCTTTCTATACCGTGTGTTTAATTTATTGTGTATTTTTACATATCTATGAACATACCAGTTAAGGATTATTTTATCCTGTCTTTATCTTTCTATACCGTGTGTTTAATTTATTGTGTATTTTTACATATCTATGAACATACCAGTTAAGGATTATTTTATCCTGTCTTTATCTTTCTATACCGTGTGTTTAATTTATTGTGTATTTTTACATATCTATGAACATACCAGTTAAGGATTATTTTATCCTGTCTTCACTTAATGCTGCAATGTGCATTCCCTGTGCTATTTCAGACTGTCAACTTCATTTATTAGCTGTATAATACGGTATTAAAATGGTGGACTATAAAATACTTTCCTCTTCCTTTACTGTTGAACACGAAAGCATCTCTGTCAACTTCATTTATTAGCTGTATAATATGGTATTAAAATGGTGGACTATAAAATACTTTCCTCTTCCTTTACTGTTGAACACGAAAGCATCTTCTAGTTTTCTGTGGCTGGGAGAGGTGGGGCTGGTTCTGCACAGTGGATCCGGACTTCGGCTTCCTCATCCCCACTCTCAGATGAGGTCTCAGCCCAGTGGTCCGGACTGGGGGGCCACGGCTGTTCACAGGGGCCTTACCCTGACTCCCGTTCTTCTATTTTCTTCCGCATGCCAATTTCAGACACGGATCACCGCATATCCCCCAGACCTCGATATGATCGACGGCAGGATTTTAAGTAGCAAGGAATCTGTGTGTACAACCCCAGCATTTCCTGTGTCTCCAGAAACACCGTATGGTAAGAACGATGTAAAACAAGCTGTGTGCAACTTGACACCGCAAGGAGGAGAGTGACAACAGCCGCTGGCTCTGCTTTCTTTTCCAGTGAAAACGCCCCCACGCTATCCTCCGTTCAGCCCACCTGAGCCCCAGATGAGCAGCCCGACCAGCCTTCACAAAGGAGGACGTGGTAAGAAATCCACCGTGTGTTACGTGCACGAGACGGCTCCTGTACCACCTTGCACAGTCGCCACTTTTACAAAGACATCTTCTTATGCAAGGATATTTCCATGTATGTCACATGTCAGCAGCTTGGGGTGAAGGCAGATCTTGCCAGGTGTATTAGTCTGTTTTTCATTACTTATAATACCTGGGTAATTTATAAAGAGACAGAATTTATTTCTTATAATTTTGGCAGCTAGGAAGTCCAAGGTCCAGGGGCACATCTGGTGAGGGCCGCCTTCCTGATGAGGACTGTCTACACAGTGCCGTGATGATGCAGGCTGTCACATAGTGAGGGCTGGGCAAGAGCACATTTACACACGCTTTCTTCCTCTCCTTATGAAGCTCCCAGTCTACCCCTACCCCTAATAACCCATTAATCCACAAATGGATTGATCATTCGTGAGGGTAGAGTCCTCACGATCAAATCACCTCCCAAAGGCCCTGCCTTTCAGATACCATATTGGGGATTGAGTTCTGACATGAGCTTTGGAGGAGACAAACATTCAAATCACAGCACCAGGGAAGCTGTGGGAATGTGGCTGTAAAATCCACTTAGGTCGGGGGGGCGTGGGAAGCAGCACAGTGTCGGGTCACTGGCACCCCGTGGGGAGCAGTCCAGTTCAGCACCTCCTACAGCTACGGAGACGCGCATTTATGGCAAGTTCAGTGGTGCCTGGAGGCAGTTCAGCATTTGTGCTTTTGAATCCCTTGTGGAATTACTGGCCAGTGAGGAGTTGCAAGAAGGAAACTAGAACATCCCCCACACCCTTACTGAGAAATCAGGTTGCAACAGGGAGCAGTTTCTCTGCATGCATCGACTGCAGGGGCAGCCCTAGATGCTGTCACCCCAGCTACCTTATCATGCACACCTATGTGGCTTCTCCTGTCATTGATGCTCAGTCATTGTCCCTGAGTCTCTCCCGTGGAGCTCAGGGATACTTTCCATACTCTTCAACTTGTCCCTCATGCAGCCATCCCGGGGAGGGGCAGGCGTCAGGGCGGATTACTCAGTATTCTTCGAGGTGGATGTTGTCTCCATGCCCCGAGAGGCCAGGATGGGGTGGGCTCAGGCAGGCGGGGAGAGAACGTAGCCTAAAGCCCTGTGTGTCAGGGCGGATTACTCAGTATTCTTCGAGGTGGATGTTGTCTCCATGCCCTGAGAGGCCAGGATGGGGTGGGCTCAGGCAGGCGGGGAGAGAACGTAGCCTAAAGCCCTGTGTGCATTTTAAAGCCACTCTTCTCTGTGACTTTAGATTCCTTATGCTGCTGCTTTTCTGCCCAGGTGAGGGCAAGTGAGGGATACTGTTAATGGTTATTGGGCACATTACCTGGGAAGGCAGATTTCCACTGAAGTGTGTTGCAATCCTGCCCCTTACAGGAGCAGTTGTGATAACGACAGCTAGTTCCATTCTCCCACTTTCTCCAGAGCAAACCCAGTCTGTGGGTCATTTAATAGAAGGGTCGTCTTTCTCCTAAAGTTTCCTTCACAGTTTTAGGACCGTGAATGCCTCTCTTCATGCACTGTGTATAGCAATTAAACTATCCATATTTCTCAGCAGGTGTGACTGAAATTTAAGTTAAGAAAAAATGTGCACCATGTTCCTGCATTTGGATTTATACGTTATATAAGCATTCCATGAGAAGACGTATGTATATTCCGGTGTGCGTTAGTGTGACAGACTCAAACATGTATAGCCATTCATATGTCCTATATTTTTATAATTTAGATGGAAGCAAATAGAGGGACATCACTTCTGTCCCACCCAGCCCCTCTCCTCATGGAGTCGACCACACTTGACTGCTAACTTGGACGCATTTAGTGGATTTGTACTAGAATCAGCCCTCTGTCCTAGAATTCCGGCATCTCCTGCAACACCAAAACCTGTCCTAAAGGATGATTTCCTTTCACTGCAGTCACACTATAAGGGTTACTCTTACTGTTATCTGTGTTTTACAGATGAGGAAACTGACAGAGAAGTTAAGTATATTGCCTGAGCCACACAGCTAGTGAGTGGCAAAGCCAGAATTCCAGACCTGTCAGTCAGCCTGACTCCATAGCCAGGGACAGGTTGTACAGTTCTTGTCTAACGTGGTTGTGACATGACGTCATGACGGGAAAAGCACGTGGAAAGTCTCAGAGTCACAGGATAAGTGTGATTCTTGTGCTTAGGTGACCCCTATGAACTTCTGTCTCCTCATCTACAAATATAGACTCTAATACCTACACTGTACAGTTTTGCAGTGGTATCCATTAGGCATCTGTAATAATGCCTGGTTATGTATCATTTAGAGCTAGCTAATGATGTGCCTAAGAATGAGATTATTTGGTTTAAAATACCATTGCACCAGTTAGTTCAGTTGGTTAGAGCATGGTGTTGATAACACCAAGGTCCAGAGTTTGATCCCCGTGACTGGCCAGCTGCCAAAAATAAAAATAATAAATAAATAAAATATCATTGAAGAGAAGCTTCTCTTCCTGGAAGGTAGATCAGACATACTTTTCCCTATTTCTCTGGCTATGTACAGCTAAAAACCCTGGGCAGTATATAAAACAGATATAAGAAAACTCTGAAAGGTGGGGAGAAAAAGGCCGACTAGCCAGGGATCTTGAGACCAAGGGCTCCAGGTAGGCCACATCCGAGGCCATAAAACAAACTTCAACAGATTAAAAAGAATTGAAACTGTATGGAGCGTGTTCTCCAACCATAATGGAATCAAACTAGAGATCAGTAACAGAAGGTAACAGGAAAATCTCCAAACACCTAGAAACTAAACAATACACAATTAATTCATGGGTCAAAGAGGAAGTCTCAAGGGAAATAAAAAAAAATATTGAACTGAATAAAAATGAACAATAAAACATATCAAAATTTGTGGGATACAGCTAAAGCAGTGCTGAGAGGAAAATTTATAACAGTAACTATAAACATAGGAAAAGAAGAAAAGCAGGAAGTGAGAAGTTTAAGCTATTACCTCCAGAACCTGGAAAAAGAGCAAACTAAGCCCAAGATGGGCAAAAAGAAGGAAATATTAAAAATATAAGCCAAAGTCAATGAAATTAAAAGCAG